GACGAAAGATCAGCCCACCACGAAGCTGCTTCCAGTAATAGAAAGGCACTTCGTTCACAAATCAGTCGAATTCGAGAAACTATCGATCGAGTCATCAGCGATGACACTACACTGGCCGAAAAAATTAAAACATTGTTCAGAGAACAGGGAATAACCATTGCCAGTATTTTAACCGCATTGGGATTTATTATATCGACTTTGACTCTCGCGTTAACCGGTGGCACAGGTGGTACAGGTGGTAGCAGCGGATCACCGCCTACGTCGGATGGTATAAAAGAGTGGATAAAAAAGCATTTAAAAGCATTAGGTTCAGCACTGGGAAAGCTCGCTGAGAAAGCCGCGGCTGCACTTCCTGGTATAATAGGGAGTGTTTTTTCCTGGCTATTGAATTTATTAGCTAAGACCACCACTTGGCTTAGTCAAAACTTGTGGGCACTGATCGTAGCAATTGCAGGGCTGTTGTACTTATCCGGAGTAAACCAGCCGCGACTCCACCTACTCCAAGCGCTGTTTTTTCATCGATATGTTGTTGATTTTTAGCCGCAATATGTGGTGGTTTTTGTGGTTGTGCGTCAATAGATGTTTTAGCGATAGTAGATATCTGTGGCTTGACTATTCCCTTTTCGCCTGTGATTGTTTGCGTTATTAATCCGGCATTCATATCTGAATTTATACCTGGTTTTTGTTGATCGGTAGCAATAACAATTTTATTATTACAGCCTATCACTTGACCGATCTTAAGTTCCATATTACTCGGAGACATGTATAGTCCCAGCGCATAAACGTAGTCCACTTTGGATTGAGCGTACTGTAATTCATCTTGATAACGCTTTATAGACGATGGTATGTCAACTGGTGAATTAATGGCGTCCTCTACGTTTGCAACAAACTGTTTTTGCGCATCGAGGGCCGTCCCAGAACCGATAATTGACGTTCGTTTTTGGGATTGTGCACCGAGAATTGCCCATACATAAGTTCTTATCGATTCATTAACTCTTTCAAATCCTGGGTTAGTAAACTTATTTTTCCGTTTTTTTCTATCAGAAATTCATTCCAAGCGTCTGTTGTATCTTTTGGATGCACAAACTTTGTAACAGTATAAGGCAAGCCACTCTTAAAACTCATAATATCTTCCCTCCAATCATTATTAAAAAGTTGCCAGTTGTTATCCCAATTATGAGTCTTTAAGAAAATATTATGTAATCTTACATAAAGTTTGCTTCTATGCGACCACCTACGTGGATCTACTGTTTTTTTTACCATTTCTTTAGCTAAAATATCACTTTCTTCTTTAACAGATTTTTGTTCATGTACGGTATACCTAGACCATGGCTAGGTCCTGTAATGTGCCAATCTTTACTCGTAGAAACATTAAATTCATTACAAATATGTTCGAAGGCCCTCTTATCATAATGATTATTTGTGGAATTCCACGCTGGATCCAGCGGTAATGGAGAATTAATTACTTTAAGTATACGTCTAATCTGATAGTACACGTGAAATAATATAACAGACTTATATAGTTTAAATCCTGGGGCATTAACAGATACGCCACATCCCGTTGTGGCACACCATACGGCAAAGTTTAACTGATTCTGCCAAAATTGCATCGGATTGTGAAACCAATCGTGCACCATTTTATCGCTAGTTGCCGTGACCCTGTACTTTTCAAAGATATCAGGGAATTTAACCGTAAAATCAGCACCAGAGTCAGTTACTATAATCGATTGATTACTAATGTAAGTTGATTTCATATTTAAGTTATGATATAGTATCATTGTATATTTAATATGTATGTTACACTCCCGGGAATAACAAATGGTCAGTCTATTGAACTGCTTCATACTATCGATAACTCGGATGGACAACTCGAAGTCGCCATCTGTGACGTAACGTATTACCCGCTGTGGACCAATATAAGTGCTGCGAAAAGAAATTATGGGGTACGTTTATTAGGTGAAAACTATAGAATTATTGGCGGCCCCTTTTTTATACCTGATGGGTATTACAGCGTATGCTCACTCAATGATGAATTTTTTAAGCCTTTGGGAGCTAGTCTCACACAAAATGAGTCAAATGGGACAGTGAAAATAGAAACTGGAGAATTTGTTTTATTTCTTTACGATGCCTTAGCAATTACACTTGGAATTACACCACTCCCCGAACATATAGAACTCAACATAACAATACATGGAGATACATTGCCCGATTTAGTTCCCTATAAAGAGTTGTGCATCCATCTTGATCAAATCAGTACGACGGATAATATTCAACTAGAAAGTCCTTCAACTCTACTCAGATCTGTTCCAGTGAAAAATGAAAAATATAATAGCGGTAGAACGGAATCTTTCTCAACATTACAATATAAAAAATTAAAGCGTGGTATTATTTCAGACCTCAAAATTTCTGTATTAGATGTAAAACACCAACCTGTACATATAGGATAAGATGTTGAAAATTACAGAATACGAGGAAAACACTATAGTCGCCATGGGTCAATTATACGACTTATGTGCCTGAGAAATGTATGCTTGATATATATACATGTATATGTGTCTGACATATATGTCTGATATATAAGACTAAGACACACAGAGATTAAGTGTACATGGCAGTATATAGTTTTGCCCTGCATATTTGAAACAAGGGGCAATTGTAAGTTTTAACTTAATCACTGACTCACTCCACGTCAACGACATGACTATGGAGTCTCCCTGAATGGGAACCTCAACCTTTCGTCGACGTGAAATGCGTCATCCTATCAACAAGCAGCACATCTCTGACGGCTCAGATCCATTGAGAACGAACACTATCCGCTGATAAACTCATATAAATTAGTTAGACACTTCCTCCAGTGTGGGCGATACAAAAGAGTTAGACATATAGGAGGGGTGACGGAAGTACAGAGTGAGTGAGTGAGTGAGTGAGTATGATTTTACTTCGCTTTCAGCAATATTCCAGCAATATTCCAGCAACATAACGGTGACTTGGTTGATGCACGTCATCAGATTCCAATTGTTTGGATCAAAGCTCGTGATGTCAACCACATGTTATCTTTCCCAGACTCGATTATTTACAGACTGCCGTCATAAAGCTGGAATAAGGCTGAGTTCGGCGTTAAACAACACAGACAGACACCCTCTTAATGGAGTGTCAAGTTATCAATCACGTCTGGTAACCACACCAAATTTGTCCCGAAGGACTTGGAACATATGTTGGTTTATCTTGAAGATGTGCGCTTCCTTGGGGTTTCGTTGAGCACCCACATGAAAATCCGTCATGTGAATCAGTTGTAAGAAATCAGTTCACGGGAAAGCAAGTTGGTTGGACGTGTTGAGGCGATAGACAGTGCAAATATACATTGTGGTCTCGCTCTGCGGTTAACCCTTGCACAGTGACACACATACGTTGTGGGGGTTGGGGGCATGTGTAAACGGAAGTTCTACAGCGTCAGACAGTGTTAACATCTGGAATTTATCCTTTATGTTCAGCACGCGCCCTACAAGTATATGCGGATGTAGACAACACGTCCAATCACGTCCTTAGTGCAAGGGTCGGCGTCCTTACGCCAGTTTAAAGTGTGTTCTTGTTCCGGCTTAAATGTTGTAGTGCTTGCTGAATTCAAAATAATGAGATGGAAAATATTATTCATTCTACATGCGAAACAAGAGTTATATCTCAGTTTCTTACCACCGCTATTATGAAATAATAGGTGAGGTGAGGTGAGGTGAGGTGAGGTGAGGTGAGGTGAGGTGAGGTGAGGTGAGGTGAAATGGAGTATGACATCGCGTCCAAGATTATTGCACTTATATAGCGACGTGCATGCACATGTGTGTGTGTGTGGCTGATTTGTACTAGTCTGGACGGATGCCGATTTATAGTGCTAGCTCACTGAGATACCATGCCGCAGCTTAACATGAATACCACACTCAGACACAGTATACTGACTCCGAGCCGACCAGTCCTTGTTTTAGCCCTTAATGCCGAGCCCCAGACAGGGTAACAAGTACCCCCTTTTAACGTCTTTTTGAATGACGCGGCCAGGGATCGAACAACGGGTTTCTTCCGCCTGTGGCAACATAAGTGGGTGAATGAGTGAGTGAGTGAGTTAAAATTTAACGTCGCATCGGCATTATCTCAGCCTTATAGCGACGAGACCAAGTTAATATATTAACAATTTAGTCATTAATGCAAAGTTTTGTTTAAAAACAAGTTGTAAAACATATTTGCATAGCAACATAAAGCCATATCACGGCGGACGGACAACCAGAAACGGCTCCGCTCATTGCTCCCATGTGAGGAGTCGGAACTGGATCTACCTGGCTACCCTATCGGCGCTTCACAAATACAGCGTAAAATGTATTTAATAAGAAAAACAAATTTATATGTTAAACGTCAACGCCAGAGAAGAACCAGTCTCGATTCCATTTGGCGTAATGGGCAAAATAGCGGTGACAATTATATAAATGGATCACTGAAAATCAGTGATGATGGCAGGTATTCGCGAAAAGGATAAGCATGTCCTGCCCTACCGGTAGCTCCTGCCAAGAATTGCGTTATTAGATTAAAAGACACAATTATGATTTTCACGCGTTTGTTATGCGATTCTACTTTTGCAGATATTTTTGATAAACAAGGAAAGGGTTTTCTGGCATATATTTACAGATCTATATGATTCACCCCCTGAGACCAAGAGCGTTAGTAGTGACATCTGCAAGGACAATGGTTGCTTGGTATAACATTAGGAAGAGCAAGTTAGATGAAGAGAAAGGTTCTATTTAATTTTCTGAAATAGAGTGAGTGATTTATCAATATTACAGTTACATGTTTATGACACGGGAGACATAATCGATGAGATTCACACATTGTGTCCATATGGGGAATCAAACCGGGGTCTTCGCGGGACGGGAGGACGCTTTAACCATTGGACTTCAGCTCTGATGTTAATACACATGGCACTTTATGATAATGTTTGTGAAATGGAATTGGTCTATTTTCAGGTGTTGTTGGCATGCGCGTTGTGTTTGGTGGGCGTGGCCTTCTTCACTTCCCTAAAGACCTCCTTCCTCTATCTCCTGGCGCTGAAACAACAGTCTAATGGCAAGCAGTGGTAGGTTTGATTTTCAATATTCCAATATATAACAATATTCCATCTATACGACAGCCGCCTGTAACTAATCGAGTCTGGATAAGAAAAACAGTGGTTAAAATTAGGAGCTGTTTGAACGATCACGCGCAATGAACAATGTCATGGAGTCTCAACATCCGATTCATTAAGTCGCCTCTTAATCGGCATTGGCTAGTAGGGGCGGACTCCAGTGAGGAGTCTAGGGAACGTTGCGGAAGCGCGTATCTACACGTTGAGTCCAGGACTGTGGGAATCTGTATGTCTATGGTTATCGTGATCATGCGGAATGTTTGGTTGTTGTTTTGAGTCATAATTAGCAATATTCCAGCTCTATCATGGCTGTTTGTATAAACGAGTCAGGCAAATCCGTGCTTGATATTATGAGTGAATTCATGCGCCGTCGGATTGATTATACGACAGTCATCGTCGGCCACCCAGCTATGCTTGCTAATGAGATCGGGTTGTCAGGCTCGTTGACTTGGTTGATATGTCATCGTTTCCCAATTGCCTGAATTGATGCTCATGATCACAATCTCTGGGTTGTCTGGTCCTGACTCGATTATATATTGACCGCCGTCCTATAGCTGGATTATTGCTGAGTGTGGCGTTAATCAAGAAACAAAACAAAACACAAAAAAGTTGTGAAAATAAATCTATACTATAATCATAATTAGTTATAAACTACATGATGCATATCTGTTTCGCTGTCGTTTCTTGTCGCGCACCGGTATGAAGTCAAATGTTAAACGAACACATATTCAAACACCTTCATATACAAAATGTAATTTTCTGTTGTATTTGCCCTTTATCAATATTTTGGGATATTTCGACATATGCATACTGTTTAATATTGGGTCTTCATGCATGTCACATTCGTAAAGATCCGGGTCAGAATAGGTCTTCAGCAACCCATGCTTGCCCTAAAAGGCGAATATGCTTGTCGTAAGAGGCGACTAACGGGATCGGGTGGTCAGGCTCGCTGACTTGGTTGATGCATGTCATCGCATCCTAATTGCGTTGATCGATGCTTATGATGTCAATCACTGGACCGTGTGGTCCAGACTCGATTTTTTACTGACCGACGACATATAGCTGGAATATAGCTGAGTGCGGGGTTAAACAACAAACAAAGAAAACATGCTTGTCACAGCGTACTGTAAAATCATACCACTTGAGGTAAACTATTTTTTATATATTTCTCTTGAGAGTGAGTTAAAATTCAATTTCACACGACACAGATGTGATTTACAATACCCCCAGCGCAAATCTGGCACACGCATCTACTCTGGTTTCAGGTACGCAGCGTTATTCTTTGTCCTGCTCGTCCCAGAGATTGTGACCTTTCTCCGAATCATCTGGGGCAGCTCGTTTGTGGCGAAAGGTCGACTGGCAGAATGGCCGCCGTGCAAGATCATATTTCTCGTGAGTCATTATTTTAATTGTGATTTAAAGTCAATATACAGCTTGTTCCATACGCCGAGTGTTGAGCCCTAGTTGTGTTATGACATCAAATATATCACTAGGTATTTCATATCTTATATGAAACACGTGAGTGTAATATTTGCTGAGCATATTTTATTTTAATGAATTAGCATCATAATAATTAAGAGAGTTCATGGATGTCAACCTCTTTATCAAGTGAAGAAATAAGCATATACCCCGAAACGTTCTGTTCCTCATAAAGAAGTTGACAACCATCAATTCTCTTCCTTGTGTGTATCGACCCATGCTTGCCGTAAATGGCGACTATGCTTGTCGTAAGAGTCGACTAACGGGATCGGATAGTCAGGCCCGCTGACTTTTTTTATGCATGTCATCGATCCCAATGGCGTGGATCGATGCTCCTGATATTATTCACTGGATTGTCTGGTCCAACATCGATTATTTACAGACAGCCGGCATATAGCTGGAATATTGCTGAGTGCGGCGTTGAACAACAAACAAACAAAACAAACATTCTAAACTGCCTGTCTGTTCACCCCAGGGTATATTCACGACCGTCCTGGAGTCGGCGGCCCTGGCGTTCTTCACCCTGGAGGTGTCTCCCCAGCTGCCCGGGTACCTGGTCCTCCCCTTGATGAACGTTCTCCTCTTCCTACAGATGCTCCTGGAGCAGTGGAAGCGATCCACGGTAAGCCTCGCAGCATCTCTTTCAGATGTGGGTTAGATGAGGGTACTGACGTGAAAGCGACAAAACTCTTTCCATATTCATGAGAGAGAGAGCAGGGGGTGAGAGAGAGATGGGGGGAGAGAGAGAGAGAGAGAGAGAGAGAGAGAGAGAGAGAGAGAGAGAGAGAGAGAGATATGATCGCATTAAAAGCGCCAATTCTTGATTGTACATACCATGTGCATGTGTTTATGAATCACTGTCAAATAGTGATGATACCAGGTGTTCGCGAAAATTTGAGCCTATCCTGCCCTACCGGTGGCATCCATCACAAACAAATGCAAAGGCAAGTCAATTGTTCACCTAAAAACACGAGAAAATATAAGTCAAAATAGGGAATTGCACCAGACACCATTTATGTCACTGATACGTCAAATTTTGAATGTCGTCCATAAAACATTTTGAAGATTTACCGAGACCTTGGAAGTTGTAACCCTGAAGAAAGAACTTTTGAGCAATCCCTACCAAGTAGAATGTAAGAGAATAGCCAGCCTTGAGTTTCCCTATATCTTCACTTGTAGATAGTTGAGGTATGAACTATAAAACGTCAATGCAAGAGAATAACCAGTCTGGATTATCCGCCGAAACAGATTTCATATTAAGCGTAATGGGAAAAATAGCTGTGCAAACTATATGAAAGGACAGTGATGACACCAGGTGTTCGCCAGATCGGTTCACAATGCCAAAACTAAACCAATAAAGTATGGCGTGAAGCGGCGTTGTTTAAGTCCAGTATTTTGAGTGGGTGGTTCATCTGAATTAAAGAAACACTGATGCTAGCCTTAAAACAAAATATGACGCTAAATAGACTCCAACATTCTTTGGATAGTTTAGTGAGTGAGTATGGTTTTACGCCGCTTTTAGCAATATTCCAGCAATATCACGGCGGGGGACACCAGAAATGGTCCGTACCCATGTCGGGGATCAAATCCGGATCTTCGACGTGACGAGCAAACGCTTTAACCACTACTTCAGTGACTCCACTGTACATATTGTACTTGCACTTATAATAATTTAAAAACAACCACCAACAAGTATTGAGACAGAAGAACCGATCTATAAATAGATAAAGTCAAATCAAGTTTCAATCCTCTTAAGCCACAATAATCAAGTAGTTTCTAAATTCATGGATACACCTCGAAGCTTAAGTTTGTCTGAACCAACAAATTTAAATTTATCTATGTCAAATTCTGAAAAAGCAGTGAACGTCCCTGATAACTTGAACCACATCCAACACTCTCATTCTCCTCCTCTGAATCACCAGGGTCGCTGTTTTTTCTCAATGGAACGAACAACGACGAATCCTTGAAAAAATAGGATGCTCAGATCAAACCTCTTGTTTGAAGTGAGGTGATATCCTTCATAGGCAGACAATTCGGGAGAACGGCCCTTAGAAACACCAAGCTCAGCAGTTTTGTTTCCGCATGTTGGTGTATTTCGTTGCTGAAAATGTGAATACTCAATTCCATTTAGAAAGTGGTCAAATGTAATAAATGTTATTTTGGGGATTACACTTTCCTAGTAAAGTACAGATTCTTGTACTTTTTGGGTTGAGTCCCATCCGCGATTCGAACCCACACTCCCAGAGTGAGGTACCTAATCGCCAGCACACAAAGTCAGCGAACTAACCCACTTCCGCAAAATATTTTTAACTTTATTGTGTTCATTATCACATTAGTGGCGGTAGGGTAGCCTAGTGGATAAAGCGTTTAACCGACACCCCAAGGCCCGGGTTTGAATCTCCACATGGGTATAATGAGTTCAATTTCTGCTGTTCCCGCCTCGACATTGCTTAAATACTACAAGCGGTGTTAAACCCAACTCACTCACTCACCCATCTTTACATCCTGATCCGTGCGTTCTGATGTGTCCACGTGTAGTGCAGCAGTTCATAGAGAGGAGTATAATGCTGATATCTGAAGTTCCGACTTTAAATCCGAAGAAGTACTGTAGTTTGTAGTCTGACAGGATGATGCCAATGTATGACGGTTCTGATTAAACTACTGACGCACCCACCAACCACAATCACCCACCAACCCATCGTTGCCTTCGTAATGTCTTATAACTATTATGTAGTTCCACTTGAATATTAGGGGCGGTCGGGTAGCCTAGTGGTTAAAGCGTTCGCTCGTCACGCCGAAGACCCGGGTTCGATTCCCGGTACAATGTGTGAAGCCCATTTCCGGTGTCCCCCGCCGTGTTATTGCTGGAATATTGCTAAAAGCGGCGTAAAACCATACACACTCACTCACTCACTTGAATATTAGACCTGTTAAGATCCGGATAAGAATAGGGCTTCATAAACCCATGCTTGCACTAAAAGGCGACTCAGCTTGTCGTAAGAGGTGACTAACGGGATTACTGCAAGCATGGGTTGCTGAAGACCTATACTTCCCCGGATCTTCACGGCTTAATAATCATTATATGTATAATAACGCCCTACATGGAATGTGTATTCGGTGATCAGTGAATATGTACGATTAGTACGAAGAATACACATCGGTGTAGTTGAACTGTGAATCGGAACCAGCTTTTTGAATACATGAGTAGGGACTGCATGATCAAAACTGATCCCCAGAATCCAGAACGCAATAGAACCACAGTTTATAACACATAACTTGTCTTTGCATGTATTTGTGACGGGTGCCACACCTTTCCTCGAACACGTGGTATCATCACTATTTGACAGCGATTCGTACATGCATGCTCATGAAATATTGGGAATCTTAGAATCGCGAGATTTCTTATGATTATAGAACAGGTTTTGTTGCTGTTATTTACGTTGTACATTATCAAAAGTATTTACGTTTGATTTTTATGGCGAAAAACTTATATCTGTTTTCATTACTGTAAATGATTTCAGTTGTAGTCTAATGTAGAGACACATACATACCCAGGAGAAAATGACCTTTATGTATTTCACAAAATACAGTACGAATAATGACGAAGGTTAAGGTGTCAAAATGTATATGAGGTTCGTCTTTGTCAGTTGCGATGACGGGCGGTCGGGTAGCCTAGTGGTTAAAGCGTTCGCTCGTCACGCCGAAGACCCAGGTTCGATTCTCGACATGGGTACAATGTGTGAAGCCCATTTTTGGTGTGATCCGCCGTTGCTGGAATATTGCTAATAGCGGCATAAAACTAAACTCGCCAATACCACAGTTGCGATGAATTTAAGACGAAGTTCGAAAAAGATAAATGTATAAATGTAACCTTACTTATGATATTATTTGAAAACATAAACGTAACATTTTCAAAGGCAAGTCTTTAACAAGATAATATTAGGCGAAATGTAAATCATCAGTAATCATCGCACTTTGGGCATTTTCAGACACGGAATTTCCTGCCTAACCACAATGTGACGTCACCCTCATTCGTGTCGCGAGTCCTGCACAGTGTGGCGGCCATTTTCGGCATCAGTATCTTCATCCTGTCCGCCTGCCTCCTGATTGTCCTTGACATTACCGAGATGCCCCGAGTTGTCGCCCTTATCGCAGCAGTTCTCACCCTTTCTGTAGTCTGGAGCCAACCAATCAAAGTGTATATCTTTCAAGCAGAATGCTCGTCTGAAACCGTCCGCTACAACATTTCACTCCTCCTATCGATTGTGAGAATTGTATCCCTTGGAATATTCTCGATGGCTGTGATTCCCATGGGCGGAGAAATCGATATCTATGATTCTCCAAAGTTCTTATGGGATGGGATTACATCACTTGGTGAGAGCAGCGTCTTGATGTCCGTCCTCGCAGTTAATTGCTGTGCAGGTCTATTGACGTATGGGTTGACCCGAGTCTCCGCCTACTATACCACGACATGGTCGGGTATTCTTATCCCATCCATCTTGTCCACAACAATTGCATCAGTTATTTACATTCTGAACTGTTTCGATGGCATCTACCTCACCTTAAGTGTTGACGTGTGTCCAATGTCAGAGGGAAGTTTGATCGTCGCGGGATTCGTGATCCTGTTATGGCTTCTTCCCATGCTGATCATGAGAAGGAACTATTTTGTACCAGCTGATACATTCTTCAAGCCTGAACACGAGAACTTCATCACCTTCGGCTACAGTGCTGTGTGTTTCGACCAACACTCTCTTCTCAACTACTATCCTTGTCCTTTGGTGTTTCGTGAAACTGGGCTGAACGGACACGGAAGAAGCCGGGTGTTCATGTGCACTACAATGTACAGAGAGGCTGACTATGAGATGGAACAGCTGCTGAAAAGTCTTGCCAAAATATCAAAGTCTCAACGACTTAAGAAAAAGAAAATATACCTTGAAGCCCACATCTTCCTTGATAATGGCGCCGATGGATTAACACTGAAAGAATTTGCTCTTCAGTTGATGGCTCTGGTACAGAATTGCCTTGTTGTTGGTCGATCTGATAGAAGCATCTATAAAACCCCATATGGCCTACAGATTTCATGCGTCCTTCCAGGCGGCATGCCTTTGTTTGTTCATCTGAAAGACCCTACCTTTGTGAAGGCTAAGAAACGCTGGAGTCAAGTGATGTACATGAATTATATCATCGATTACCGTATCAAGATGACAACTCATATCGCTGAGATCCAGCATCAGATGAAGCTGAAGAAGGAGGTAGGACCTACGAAGTACACTCAGATGATCATGCAAATCAGGTCCCTTCTGGACAACCTCAAGGACCAGGATGAGGAACAGGAGAAGGGGTCCATATACAGTAAATGTGGCTCGGCATACAGTTCTGATCAAGAGATTAAAACAGGGGATGACATGTCAGAGACCTCGAGTCAAAGGTATCCTGAGAAGGCCACAGAGTATAGCGATGGGAGATCTACCTCCCCGCCCTCAACAAGCAATAGCTATGCCAATTTAGTTTCTGCAGAATATCCACTCGGGAAGACCACGCCGATCTATATGTCTGAAACGTCGGATCAAACTGGAAGCCATGGCAGCGGGGATGATGGCATAGGAAGACCCAGCACTGTCTTCCCTTCCTCTCCGTCCTACACAAGTTTCATCTCAACAGATTTTCCTATTTCTAAGGTCAACCCTGCTTACATCCCCGATAAAAACGAGTTGATGCCACCAAAATGGCTGCCAGAGTTTACATCAGATTCAACCTTCACTGGCCATGCCCCAAGTTTGTCAGATATCAGAGGCTCAGCCAGAGATCTGAATATGCTCGAGTTTGCATCCAATGAGAAAATATCCACAATATCTAAGGATAAAACAGCCCTGGATCTGTCCCAGTTAACGCCGGCATATGATGATAGGACGTACATTCTGGCGACGGATGCTGATATGCAATTTAATGATATGAGCGTTCTTGACCTGGTCGAAACATGCAACAGCGATCTTCGTCTTGGAGCCGCCTGTGGCCGAACTCATCCATTCGGGAAAAAGAAACACCCGATCGTGTGGTTCCAAATGTTCGAATATGCCAAAGGTTAGTTTTGTCCCTCTTGATATCTAGTGAGTGAGTGAGTGAGTTTAAATTTAACGTCACAACGGCAATATTTCAGCCATATCGTGATCTTGATATCTAACAAATAGTCCTATATAGTATATATCCTATAGCACTGTGCTCCTTCAATGTCATGTGTCGTTGCTCTTAGGAAGCAGCCATTTACTTACTATTCCAGTACAAATCATAAGTAGTAAATGTAAAAGCTATCAGTGTCACTGACAAGTTCCTCAGAAGTGATTTTAGTGCCGAATCAGTGTTCAGATTACTTTGTATAACAAAACACGACCTGTGAGTTTGACACAATCATAAGTACAATGTATGTTGGCCCTTGTTTAGTCAGGTTTCTCAAGGACCGTGGAATAAGTTAATGGTGACCCGGCGGTCTAGTGATATTTTCAGAAAGCTGTTGGTGCTTTCTTTCTTGGGAAACAGAAAAACAGAAAACATAGCAAGATTACCAGCCAAACACACACATTGTAACACAATTTATCCTTACGACTTCGCAAATTTAACAAGAATTATTTGTGTGTGACAATTGGCTCTATCGTGTAAATTACATCAGAAATCATGGTAGAAAGTGCAAAAGTTGTGAATCACCAAGGGCTGCATCTGCAGGATGATTGCTCGACAATAAGTTTCCAGTTTTTCTGTTTCCATTTTTTCCGTAAATGATGTGTTTATGATGATTTGGCAGACTTCTGGCTCATCAAGAGCGCCCATAATATTATTGGCTCCGTGATGTGCTGCCCAGGCTGCTTCAGCTTGTACAGAGTGAAGGCTCTGGAAGGAGTGTTGCACCTCTACTCGGAGCCTACATTCAAACCTTGGGATGTCTTCACAAAGGACACAGGTACGTCGTGTTAGCCTCCTGACAGCTGGAGCCAAGAGTAGAATTCATTTTCTTCATTGTCTCAAAGCGAAGTTTAGGTACAGGTGTTATTTGTCAAGCAAGCACCTGTATTGAAACAACACAATGAAACAATGAAGCCATCCTTCTCAGACCTGTCTTTGATGTCTTTGAAGATGTTTGTTTTCACAAGTATCATTTATTTCATGAACACAGGCGTAATACAGCATATGCTGTCAATCATTTTATTCCAACGTTTTTGGTTCCAAATTCAATGTGGCGACAAATAGACCTATGTTGACTTCAATTTTTCTTACAGTCACTTCCTATTAAAGTAGACTTCTCTTTAATTCAGGCGAGGATCGATGGATGTGTACACTGATGATGTTACGTGGCTGGAAGCTTCAATACTCCAACTTCGCCTACAACGGCACCTATTGCCCTGACACTGTGGAGGAGTTTATCAAGCAGAGGAGACGCTGGATTCTGTCGGATTTCGCGAACTCTCTGATGGTGTTCCGTAATCTTCCTCAGCTAATCCGCAGTAATGGCTGCTTCTCCGTCATCTACGCCATCTACTTACTGCAGCTGTTCTTCATCGTCGTCCTCCTTCCTGGTGGGTATTTGTCTGTAGACCTTTGAAGATCCAGGGTAGAATGGGTCTTCAGCAACTCATGCTTGCCATAAAAGGCGACTATGCTCATTTACATATGGAAAGTATTTATTACGAGGTGATTGTAATTATGGGAATTGTCCTGAAATAATCTTTTGTGATAGTTTCACATTATGGTCACTTACTTTGACATTATCCACGGTGTAAAATACACCTACAACTTCTCATAGCACTGTTAGTCCAGACACACAAGGTAATTGATCAATGTGTCCTTCTTAACATCATATGTATGCGACTATGCTTTTCCTAAGAGGCGATTAACGGATAAGGTGGTCAGGCTCGCTGTATTGGTTGATGCATGTCATCGTACCCCAGTTGGACCGTCTCCGTGGTCTAGTGGTAGAGCGTCCGCCCGGAGAGCGGAAGGTCCGGGGTTCGATCCCCGGCCGCGTCATACCAAAAGACGTTAAGAGATGGTACTTGTTGTTACCCTGTCTGGCGCTCGGCATTAAAGAGCTAAAACAAGGACTGGCCGGCTCGGAGTCAGTATACTATGTCTGAGTGAGGTATTCATGTTAAACTGCGGCATGGTATTTCAGTGGGCTAGCACTATAAATCGGCATCAGTCCGGACTAGTACAAGCAGCCACACACACACACGTGTATGCACGTCACTATATAAGTGCAATAATCTTGGACGCGACATTAAACCCAAATTCCCCTCACCTCACCCAATTGTGTGGATCGATGCTAATGATGTCAAAATCTAGATTGTCTGCTCCAGCCTCGATTATTTACAGACTGCAGCTGGAATATTGCTGAGTGCGGCGTCAAACAACAAATAAACAAACTATTTGTTTGTGGTGTGTGTCATTATTGAACGCTGGACATTGTACAATGCTTCATCTAAATGGGCGTTGCAACAATTATGTCAGTGTGTGGAGATGTCTTGCTTGTGAGCGATTGAAATGTTATGGTCATTGACTAGGTTGGCGACAAATGAAGTCACAAGTAATCACATGATTGCTAGTTTAACACAAATTGCAACAATGGTGGTGAGATGGGTGACAATGTGTTCATGTATACCGAACGATGATATAAAGACGTCCATATCAACTAGCTGTATGCATTGTTTACATAGACTAACAGAATAAGTGTAGGTGTAGACATTTGTATTCATATATGGATCAAACCAAGCCCGTGACTTTGAGAGCTGTAACACATGAACGAACTGCTTATGTATTGAACCACAACTGTATTATTGTGACTTTATAATCAAGGTTCGTTTATCGATCAAGGTATCACATATTCGCAAGGCAAATATACATAAAACAGAAAGTCTTTAGTACCTGTGATGTAAGATTGTTATATGTATATGTTTCTGATAGTCCATTATGCTTCCTGTAGATAGGTTAATGCGACTATGCTTGTCGTAAGAGGCGACTAATGGGATCGGGTGATTAAGCTCGCTGACTTGGTTGATGCATTTCATCGTATCCCAATTTCGTGGATCAATGTTCATTATGTCAATCATTAAATTGTCTGGTTCGTTATTTAGGTCATATATAATGGTCATATAGCTGGAATATTACTGAACGCGTGGTTACACACACAAAAAAAATCCATATAACGTTTAACTAATTATAAATATGAATGCAAGTAGGGGAATTAGAATGTGGAACAATACACTGTATTTGCAAAGTAGCGGTGACAGTTGTTTGAATGGATCACTGAAAGTCAGTGAAGACACTAGGTTTTCACCTAAATGGGAGGTCCTGCCCTTCCGGTGGCATGGACTATTCACACAATTTGTATATAAACATAGGTGAGGTGACAATCGAGTAATGGACGAGTATTCTGTTTCATTTAGTTTAGCTGTGTACATCATGTGTTATCCCTTATAACCAACAGGTTCCACAGTGATCATGTTAACTGTTGGTTTGGACATGCTGGTTGGACTAAACTTCTACATCCTCACGCCAATCGTCTCTTTCATCCTCATCCTGTATGGCTACTTGTGCATTCGTCTCACATCCAACATGCAGATCCTTCTCACGAAATTCTCCATCGTCCTTCTCGGGCTCTGCATGTCTGCAGTTGTGCTTGGTGCTGCATACTTCGTCATCATAGACTTGGTGACAGGTGAGTTGTTGTTTTGCAGCTACGTTTCTTTACTGATGGCCTCAACCCTGAGAACACAAATTGCTAAATGAAGTTTATTAGGCTTTGAAGTTAACTTAGAGATCAGTATATAGTTGTAGAGGTCATCGAAAAAAAAAGATTGCATTAGTTGAAATACATCAATATTTATCACCTTTCTACCAAGACATAATTAACCCGTTAGTTGAAATACATCTATATTTATCACCTTTCTACCAAGACATAATTAGCCCGTAAGTTGAAATACATAAATATTTTTCACCTTTCTACCAAGACGTAATTAGCCCGTTAGTTGAAATACATCAATTTTTATCACCTTTCTACCAAGACATAATTAACCCGTTAGTTGAAATACATCTACATTTATCACCTTTCTACCAAAACATAATTAACCCGTTAGTTGAAATACATCAATATTTATCACCTTCCTACAAAGACATAATTAACCGCGATCTCTTTGGTCTCGTGTACTAACCTTTCTGAAACTACATACCAAACATACCAAACAAAATTGTGCAATTGTGCAAGGAATACTTTCTCAAAACTATTCTCTTTCACGGTACTGGTGTTGCTGCTGCTAAAATTTGAGATTGTAACGACTGAAATATCTGATTGACAATTCATTTCAGACTATTCCCCAGGGAATTGAAATAATTACTGTTGGTGTGATTTTATATTTTCCACCGAACTGGCAACTACCACCATCACACACATGTACCACAGTGGCCTTGTGTCGCCAGTTATCTGTTTAAATGCCTCAAAGTACCAATTAGTCTTATGGAGATCCTAATGCAGCGAACAACTGTAAGAGTTAATGAGGCGATGGGGGGTTACAGCGTTCGCTTGTCACGCCGAAGGTCCAGGTTCGATTTGCAAACTGGATACAGGAATATGAAGTACATTTCTGCCCTTTTAACCGTACTCAACAACTAACTGATAGAACTACCTTCCTTTCTTTGCTCCATTAGGATCCGGATATGAATTGGTCTTCAGCAACCGATGCTTGTCGTAGGAGGCGACTACCGGGATCGGGTAGTCAGGTTCACTAAGCCCATTGATGAATGTCATCGTATCCAAAATTGCACAGATCGATGCTCGTGATGTCAATAACTGGATTGTCTGGTCCAGACTCAATAATCTACAGACCGCCGTCTTATAGAATGAATATTGCTGAGTACGCATTAAACAACAAACAACCAAACAAAAACCTCCCTTTTTCAGATAACCAGGAGGATGCCCTTCAGTTGCAGGAAGACTACATCCTCATCGCGGTGACCGGAAGTCTTCTGTACGCTGCTCTGCTCCACCCGAAAGAGTGCTGGCTGCTCTTCAATGGTCTTTTCTACCTCTTCTTCTTTCCCGCAATGCAGATGCTGCTTCCGGTGTATGCGTTGTGTAACATCGTTGATCAGACATGGGGAACCCGAGACAACGTGAGCCACTGAGACTTTATGTCACATATATGGAGGATATATCTTGTGTCGAGTGAAATATCATGTTTCTGTTATCGGGTGACGGGGGCCAAAGGAGATAAATATCTCCTTTTCCCCTGTCACGAGATCAGAGAGAAACATGATATTTCACGAGACACAGGGAATATCCTTTTTATTGTATACTTTTTTGTGTAGTCGTCTATAGGAAAATTAAATTATTTTCATTACAAATGTAAAACCTTGAAACGTAAATTCTCCCTAACTAACACAGGGACGGGTCACCGACCCTTGCATTTGCGACCTAAAAAAGTATAAAAAATATAAACAAAACTTACAAAAACATTTGGGGCGGTCGGGTAGCCCAGTGGTTAAAGCGTTCGCTCGTCACGCCGAAGACCCGGGTTCGATTCCGGACATGGGTACAATGTGTGAAGCCTATTTCTGGTGTCCCCCGCCGTGATATTGCTAGAATATTGCTAAAAGCGGCGTAAAACCATACTCTTTCACTCACTACAAAAAACATTTAGGGTAGCGAAATTTCTGTGTCATACATATAGATATGATTATAAACAAAATATATTCTTGAAAACATCAAGACCACTGTCGGGGGCGAAAGAATACACGCTGGTCAAGTCACAAAAAATGTTGCTTTGCGGAATGGTCTCGATTGACTAGTTAAGTGAGAAAATTACAGTTTATAATGGACACTTACGATAAAGGGAGACAATTCGAGGGGGGTAACTCTTGTATGAAGATAGTTCCGTGTTATGTTCGCAGCAGTGAAATATCCATTGTTATGTTCACTGCAATGAAAATATCACTTTTCTCAACTTCGGAAAACTCAGTCGTTGACACTTAAGAATATAACACAAGTTTCTGTTGTAGTTTGCATTTGTACATAAATATCTAAATGGTTAGAGAAGTGAAATTGTTCGTTATATCCATTGTTCATTTCTGGAGAAACGTTATCCTCTACTATTTATATACATTCCGGAATTCGTAGGGATATTGGTACTCAAATTCATACAATCTGTTTGGTTGTTTTCATATATAGTTCGATATACTTTATTCGGTACTCACGTGAATTGTATATCCTTATATGTAGTAAAGAAGTCGGGACTAGTACTTTTGAACCGTATCGTTATAACCATGCTCCACTGTATATTGGTGCATGCTATAGCCTGATGAACTTCTAATGAGAACAAACAAGAATTACATAATGTTGCCTTCACAAGTGTAAACCATAAATGTTATCACATGATTGTCCGTACATTCTACTACAGACCGCCTCCGTGGTCTAGTGGTAGAGCGTCCGCCCGGAGAGCGGAAGGTCCGGGGTTCGATTCCCGGCCGCGTCATACCAAAAGACGCTAAAAGATGATACTTACCCTGTCTGGCGCTCGGCATTAAGGGGCTAAAACAAGGACTGGTCGGCTCGGAGTCAGTATACTATGTCTGAGTGAGGTATTCATGTTAAACTGCGGCATGGTATCTCAGTGGGCTAGCACTAAAGATCGGCATCAGTCCGGACTAGTACAAGCAGCCACACACACACACACGTGCATGCACGTCGCTATATAAGTGCAATAATCTTGGACGCGACGTTTAACACAATTTCAACTCACCTCACCACATTCTAGAACAAACCGTACCGATCAACAAGAACATTATATTTTCCAGCAAAAAGCAAAGTTACCAAAACTGCTTTGCTTCCCTAAAATGAAGTTCAGAAGGAAGAAGAAGAAGAACAAAGGCAAGAAGTCTGCAGATGCAGGTGCGTGCTAGCTGTGGTAAAGTGCATGATTGTAAACAGCTACGGTGTCCTTATTTTATTTCAGACATCCCCATCAGGGTTCTCGGGCAGAATAATCCCTGGTAGGAAATGCGCGTCGTGATGCTCGGTGGCATTTGTATTTGAGGGTCATTAATGCTCATGATGTCAACCACGGTTTTACATATTTATGTTTGGGCTATAGTGGTATCGTCGGGATGTCCTAATTGCGACGGGAGACAACGTTCAACAAAAGACAAAATGATCGCTATTCCAACATCTGTTGACAAAATGTTACATATGTTTCCGGAGTCCGGTTTATGATAGATCCTCAACAACCTATGCTGGCCGTAAGAGTCGAGCAAATGGATCGGATGGTCAGGCTCGGTGACATGGCTGCTAGCATACCATCGTAAGCCAGGTGCGCGGATCGCTGCTCACAATAACGATAACTGGATCTACTGTTTCAGACACAATTATTTACAGGCCACTGTATAATAGCTGGATGTTGCTGAGTGAGGTGTTACACAACAAACAAACTCGCTCATTAATATGTTGTTGTTTCAGACATAGTTGACCCTGAAGATTCGGAGGTATCCTTAGACCAGCTGAAGCCGATGAGGAGCGAGGAACAGCTCTTCTGGACACAGTTGTTGGAGAAGTTGATTGGCAAGGACATCAACCTTGGGTTGGAGAAGGATGTCCTGGCTGATGGCCTCAAATCCCTCAGGTTTAGGACGCTAATTGCCATTTTAGTGGCGAATGTCATATGGGTTATTGGTCTTGGCCTGTTCTATGCCACTTCCGTCGAGAAGACTGATAGTCTCAGTGGCTACGGTATTATGATTGGAGTCCTGTATGGGTTTTCGTTCGTCATTCATGTTGTCGGTATGACTGTGTATAGATTTTCAGACTGTGCTCACAGACTTGGGAAGAAGATTTTCAAAGATGAAAAATCTCACTGGGTGACGAGAAGGGAACATGGTACCAAGATGCAGTTTTGAGTTCTTAAAAGTCTCATTGAACTGTGCTGAACACCACCTAAAAGGTGGTGAAACGATCAAATTCAGCGTTTGCAAGAAGCAAAGCCTGGAGTATCTACAGATACATTTGCAAGAAGATACATGGTTCTGTGACCAAGAACACAGTGAATATGTGATCTCACTGAATACCTATCTAGTTAATGATACAGTGATAGTATCCAAACCTTTCAAAGAGGATGGGTTAAGGATTTGAAGCTGATATATGATCGCATGATAATGATTTTGTCATCAATACATTCTCATATCGAAGTTTAGATGCTTCTTATTAGCAGCATATCCCTAATTCTAGGAGTACGTAGAGCTCGTGCTACAGAACACCCTCTAATGTGTGGGTACTGGGTACCTGCGATAAACGGTATGCATGACATCTCGTACAGCTTACCTTAGTCATTGTTAAACAGGATTGCAGAATATATTTTGGGGTGATCGAATGCTGACTTCCTGCACTGCTGTGCAGTTTATACATATGTTTGACAAACATAACAATTGTGAAACAAAATGTACAGTGTACATCTTCATAACGTGGTTGACATTAAACAAATATGTGAGACAGGGTAACGTGTGCGTTGCATAATGTATGCTGTTGAAGTGCTTTATATATGATACTTGTGATCAAGCTCCAATAATCTTACCCTGTCACCATTTATACACATGACATGCGTATCTCCTATTCTATACATCATGTTATTGCCGAACTTGCCATTGTGTCATTAATGATAGTTTCAAATGTAACATAGTTAAAAACGCTTTAATGTACAGAGTATCGAGGCGGTGTTAATGGCACTCTTGTATTATTGTAATTTTGCTGCCAGATAGTTAAACCATTGCAATGATTGTGTAATATTGTAAAACCATTCTTATTATGGCGTGAGAATGTTAAACCATAATAGTGATAGGGTAAGACTGAAAAACAATTATTATAACGCTCATTAAATTGATGTATTGATGTTGTTAAATTGACTTCCTTTTCTCAAAGTAAGTAAAATCTTTGAACACACCATGAAGACCTATGAGTTTGCTTCAGTTCAAATCGTAATACAATACATATTCATTCAATTTATGGGGACTATATCTTAGACATTTAAGATATGTATTGCCTGATTCACTTCAGTAGCGTTGCATAACCCGAACTAATGTTAGGCTGAATTTACTAAGGTAGTAATATTCATTCCGTTGTTCCTTTTCAGGAAGTAACTTACTCTAACAGTGCTAGGTATGTTTGTGTTATTTGTGCATTGTTTATATTGTTGACTGAAGTGTGCATTGTGTTTTCGTTAGTTTTGTTTCTTATATTCAAAGACGTTTGTAAATAAACTCCTATTTATCTAAACTGGAGTCATGTGTCTATATTACCTCAATTTATGCAGGGAGACATGTACAATATTGATATTAGACATGCACATATTCATCACTTACAAAAACAAACCATCAACTGCATGAAATGGTCAGAGCATGAAGATCCAGTGTTTAATCGTCCAAATGGTATGTGACCGTTGTATGTTGATGAATTGTTTGACAGGCATTAAAATGACAAAGTAGATACAATTTATGGAAAACAGCTTCCTTAATTACTGTAAATGCGACGTTTCGGTATAGATCTTTATACCATTGTCAAGCAAGATTGAATGATGAACATGGTACAGAATATATATAGTAGGTGGAGGATTAACAGTCAGTCTTGCTTGACAGTGGTATAATGATCTGTACTGAAACGTCGCCTTGATAGTAATCAAGAAGTTGTTATCCATAAATTGTGTCTACTTTGTCACCAGTCAACTTCTAAGTAATGCCTATCAAACAATTCATGCGTCGTCTACATGGAGACTTGGCACTCAACACCATCAACAGCCTCATCCGACTAGAGAAGAAGCACATTCAAGCCAGCATACATCTCACCTTCCTCATGAGGTGCAGAGATTTAAAACATCGCCCCAAAGGCCTCAGGATCAGATACCCCATCAACTCCTCCACTGCCAGAGCCATCCTGCACACTGCCTCTTAATCCCTTCTCACTGAACGAATCCGCCCTCACCGCAAATCAAGACTCCCTCCCTCAAAGACATCTCTGACCACATCAACCAGCTCAACACTCGACAGCCTGACACCTTTCCCTCACTCCGCTATGCACAGACCCAGGCCAACAACAAACTGCACACTAAGGCCAAGGTCAACCACATAAAGAAGTTCCAACACCTCCTCTCCAACAAGCTTCAAACCAGCACAAGTCGCCTTAACAACAAACACCACCACCAAAAGACTGTTGCCAACCTCAGCAATTCATTAAGAACAGACCAACGTCATTTCCAAAGGACTGAAGATCATACCCACCAGACCACTATGGAACCATGATGACTTCATAAATAATATCGAGAAAGGCCTTCAGCAACTCCCAACAAAGGGAAAGGTCGACTATCTGTGTCACCAGATCTGTGACATTCTTGCCAAAACAGAGACGCAAACCCCTAACCTCAGTGTAAAGCCATCAAAGAACTATAAGATGACACGACTATCCAGATCGCCCATGCTGACAAGGGCAAGACCACAGTCACCATGGGCACTGTCCACTTTCATAATCAAGTCAACAACATTCTCCAAGACCCATCCACCTACTCCAAGATCAGCTGCCTCTTCAAACAGCAAGCCAATATTGACACCTACTTCACCATTTCCACCTCCCTCAATCGATATGGCTGAAATATTGCCGATCTTACGTTAAATAGTAACTCAATCACTCACATCATCGATAACCTTCTAAGAGCCAACGCCCGAAACACACCTTAACGCAAATAACCAAAGGGTGTAGTTTATAAAATTGACTGTAACTGTGGACAATCCTACGAAGGTGAAACATCCCGCCCCATCAACAAAATCAAAGAGCACAAAACTGACAGTCTGAGAGCCTCTTTGGTTGTTCAACCCCCACAAAAGCTGAGTTAAAAATTCACACCAAAATGGTGCAAAGGGTGGTTTGTCATAAATAAATTGATAACATCACATACTGAATTAAGAATGACTATGAAAAGAAACCCCGGGTCTTCCATGTTGACAGGCTACTACCATATGAGAGTAGTGACCCACCAACATGGTGGACATCGGACCAAAGGCAATAAACCAGTTCTTGTGCCACTAGTCTCACTGCAATCCTGAAACAATCAGAGATGAGAATTAACACACAAACTCAAACTAAATTATAATAGATTGATTTCAAGGTGTATGCTGGAAAGAAGATAGTCATTAACGTGATTGGTTCTGACTGACTCGATTATTCTGGGACTTATCTGGATTTAATATTTGAGCGTGTTGGACGTTTTCCAATAATTTCCAAAAAATACGTTACGCATGCACGAGGAAGGTAGTCGTGTTTTCCACGTCTTCCCGATTGGGCGACTTCTTTGACCAATATCGGGCCAGAATAAGTACATTTTCCCAACCAAATAAAGCAAAAAGAAGCATACATTGCATCAAGATCGACTCATCGATCATTTTGAAAAGTGTGAGGCTGGTACTTCTGTTTAGCCTTCCACAAGTAATGAATGGACCCGTGGCCTTAAACCCGGGACCCCAGGATGCCAGGCAAGAACAACTCGTAAACAATGTTATAATGAAGAGAACTCAAAGATTAGATCCGAGGAAACAGGGATCGCCAGTTATTGCAAACTTCTTAAAATCGAACGATAAAAGTACACTTTTCATGAAATCAAGAGAAAACCTGCCATGAACTGCACATCAACGCGTCACGGAAGATTTTACACAGAGAATAGGGAGGACAGGCGGTCGATGTTACACAGGTTTCAACAAGCGAGAGTCAGCGAGAGACGGGTCAAAATCCGCCAAAATATAAATGCACTTATTGTGGATGGAGCTGCTATTGTGTATGACAGAGACAATGATTGCAGTAAGCAGGTAGCAGGTAAAACCTTCGATTTCCCGAGAACAACACCGAACGGCTCAGAGTTACATTCGAATCCGATTTCAATAAATGCACGTGGGTCACTATTTATAGCACAAGCCGGAAGCAACGACACAAGAAGGGAAGCTACTCCAACTGCCGGTGATTGATGTGTAGGCCAAGACGAAAAGAACAGGTGAGGTGAGGTGAAATGGGGTTTAACGCCGCGTCCAAGATTATTGCACTTATATAGCGACGTGCATGTACGTGTGTGTGTTTGTGTGGCTGCTTGTACTAGTCCGGACTGATACCGATTTATAGTGCTAGCTCACTGAGATACCATGCCGAAGTTTAACATGAATTTCCCACACAGTATACTGACTCCGAACCGACCAGTCCTTGTTTTAGCCCCTTAATGCCGAGCGCCAGACAGGGTAACAACAAGTACCATTTTTTAACGTCTTTTGGTATGACGCGACCGGGGATCGAACCCCCGACCTTCCGCTCTCCGCTCTCCGGGCGGACGCTCTTCCACTAGACCACGGAGGCGGTCCGAAGTGAACAGTAAACATGGATCAATTTCTATACTTTCATGGAGTATTAAAGGTTTGAATAAACATATCAATCATCCCTCAAATATCAAACATTTATTGTGTTCAATATGAAATTATTGGTTTAGTTCGTGCGTAGTGTCGAGGATGTAAGTGACTTTCTACCTGGATATCATACTGTAAATTGTGTCAGAACGAAACTGCACTCGGTCGCTATAGTGGCGGTATTAAGGTCTTTAATAAGATATGACATCATAAATGATGGTCTTACTCAGAGACTCTGCAAAACTTTTGAAAATTGTGTTGTACTGATTTTACAGACACCCGCATCAGCTTGGGACAAAGACACTATCTATCTTGATACTCCCTTACCTCCCCCTGAAATTTCGTCAATATATACTCTTCCAAAACAAGAAACTTGACATAGATGTAAAACCACTTTTTGCCAAATATCTAAAATAATTACATTAAATGAGAACCAAATAAGTCAAACAGAAAGATGATGTGTCTATAATTCGCGAAAACACATGCAAAGCACATAAACATAGCGTTTGGGGATCAATTTTACAGCTACATCCAAACGCAACAGCCTGTAAAAAACGTGCAGCAAAGGAACCTGCATTTAGGCATGCAGGCCCTCTGCTGAATGGGTATAACAATCCATATCAACGGCTGTTCATACAGCCCTTATAACGGCAGTAGAGGCGGTGACAGAATGCCAAGACTGAATGCAGCTCAACGGAACAACGCCATTGGGAGATTACAAGCTGGAGCAACTCGAGCACAGATATGCCACTATAATGAACTCACACTGACAATAACACAGATATTTCACTATTTATGAAATTAAGACACTTTTCAGAAGAACCTTCATTCAAAAGAAACAGATATATTTAGCAAACAGAAAGGCAAACTAATAGATGCAAGAAATGATCCCAATGTGTTCTGGAAAATTCTAAAAGACAAAAGAGTTTCACAAGATATTTCTGACACTACTCCAGATGAACCCCAGAAACGTGCATACTCAGCTGTCCAATTACAGAATAAGAAATGTTATCTAGCGTCACAAACTAACCAAACAATATAACTCCAGGACCAGATGGACTCGCTGAGGAATATTTAAATTAATTGCATGGCATATAATTATCCTGCCGCTTCCACTCATGTTCAATAACATTCTTAACAGTGGACACTTCCCAAATAGCTGGGGTAAAAGTATTATATGTCCTTTGTTTACATCTGGCAGTAAGATGTTGGTTGGTTGGTTGGTTTGTTGTTTAACGCCGCACTCAGCAATAGTCCTGCTATATGACGGCGGTCTGTAAATAATGGAGTCCGGACCACACAATCCAGTGATTAATATCACGAGCATCGATCAACGCAATTGGGATCGATGACATGCATTAACCAAGTCAGCGAGCCTGACCACCCGATCCCGTTAGTCGCCTCTTACGACATGCATAGCCGCCCTTTACGGCAAGCATGGGTTGCTTAAGACCTATTCTACCCCGGATCTTCATGGGTCTCTTGCAGTAAGAATGATACAAACAATTACAGGGGTATATCACTGATTTACACTCTCTGCAATATATTTACTTCCATTTGGAATAAAAGGCTTCAATTTGGTGTGAAAATAATGATATAATTCGCGAGGCTTCAGAGCAAATTACTCCGCTACAGATCACATGTTCACTAAACAGGCTGTTATCCAGGAGTACTGATGTAAGGAAAAGGGGAGATTTTACTGTCTCTTTAAATTTTTAGATGTTTCGAAGGCATTTGACACACTCATACATTATGTTCTCCTATAGTCATAACATAAAGCTGGGATCTCCGCCAAGTTGTATAAAATTATTGCTTCAATGTATTCTCATTTAACAT